ATATATATATATATATATTATATTTATTTTATTTTTCGTAATTTTTGATCTTATGATATTGCAATTTTATGTTTAAATATTAATTTAATGCAAAAGCAATAAATTTTAATACTTATTTCATATATTATAGTCATATTATATATATGTATATTTATATGTGTAAGTGTATATGTATATATACACTTTCTAATTTTCTAGAATCAACTTTCCAAAGATGATTCAAAAATATATTGACATCTTTTTTATGAATTTAATGTTATAGATAATGGAAATAGCGGAAAACTTAAATTTAACAAATTGTTTAAATACTTTAGTAAAAAATCTAAGCGGTGGAGAACATAAAAGATTGTCAATCGGGATAGAAATAATTACAAAACCATCTGTTATATTATTAGATGAACCAACTAGTGGACTTGATAGTACATCCTCGTATCAGGTCTATTAATTATACACGTCTAATAATTTTAAAGAAAAATTTATGAAATGATTTATCGAATTTTTCAAATAGGTAATCGAATTATTGCATAAAATAGCAAGAGGAGGTTGTACCATTGTTTGTGCAATTCATCAACCCAGCAGTCGCATAATATCACAATTTGATGATTTATTACTTATACATAATGGAATTTCCTTCTATTGTGGACCTTGGAACGATGTTTTTTGTACCTTTAGCGAAGCAGGTTATCTGTGTCCTCAATTTTATAATATCTCTGAATTTAGTAAGCAATAATATATTTTAATAATTAATAATATTAGAATTATATATAACATATATTAATATAAATAATATTAATATTAGAATTATTTGATATTTTTAATTTTTTTACAGTTCTAGAAGTAGTGATAGGCGAAAGAAGTGGTGATTTAAATAATCTACGCAAAATTAGTCATGATAAATATTTAAAATGGAAGATATGTTTCCAACATTCTATTATAAGTAATTATATTTTAATTTAAATTTATATTTACACAATTTAACAATTATAAAGTATAATAGAAATCATATTTTAGCAACAGATGTTACACCGAATACTTCGAAATTGAATATTATCAACAAATCGAAATTATATTTTATCTGGAACGAACAAAAGATTTTATTATTGAGAGCAATAATTTGTATTAAAAGAGACAATGTTAGTTGTTACATCAAAAGTTAAATATGATCAAATATCATATTTTTTGATCAAATATGAATTTGATTTCCTTTATATTTCATTTTTGTATATAATATTTTGTTTTTTTATAGACTTTAACAAAATTAAGATTTGCAGCTCATGTAATAGTAGCTTTTCTACTAGGTGTAGTTTTTTATGATTCCGGAACTAATGCTAATAAGGCTAAAAGCAATATAGCTTGTATATTTTTCGTCTTACTGTTTTTATATTTTGCAAATTCCATGCCGGCTGTGCAAATGTGTAAGTTAAATATTTATTAACACTGTTTTTACAATATTTAAATATTTGATTGGTTCAACATTAATCTTCGTTATTTTCAGTTCCTGTAGAAACTGCTGTTTTCTTACGAGAATATTTAAATAATTGGTATCGTTTAAAATCTTATTTTTTGGTGAAAGTTTTATCAGATTTACCATTACAAGTATGAAGAAATAATAATGTTAATGTCTTTTCAAAAAAAAAAAATCATTTTAAATATAATAATAATCTTTTTAGATTATCATACCTTCAGTGTTCATCATTATTACATATTACATGACTGGTCAACCAATGGAATTCAATAGATTTTTACATACTTGGTTGATTTGTATTTTAATAACAATTCTTGGACAATCATCGGGAATGCTCGTTGGTGCTGCATTCGATACGCAAGTAATAAATAATTTAAATTATTGATTTTATAATGTCGAATAGGTCATTGACGTTTGTTGAAATAATAATACATTACATTATATATATCATACTAATTCATATATCATACTAATTCGTAAATAAATTTATATATTTCATGTAATTTAGTAACAATATGATTTATACGCTTTGTAAAATAGCGTACTAAGAAAGTTAAGAAAATTAATTTGTATTTTCAGTTGGGTACGTTCTTAATCCCTGCCTTCAATATGCCAATGATACTATTTGCCGGATTTTTCTTGAAACTTAGCGAGGTGGTATCATTTCTTCGACCTTTATGTGCCATTAGTTTTTTTAGGTATATTAATTACTAAAGATTTGTTATTTTTATATAAAATTAATTATACAACAAAATTATTTTTCACATATAGATATGCATTTGAAGGTATTCTGCAAGCAATTTATGACGGAAATAGAGAAAAATTGCAATGTTATGAAATCTATTGTCATTTACGTTCGCCTAAAAAAATTCTGGAAGAAATGGATATGCCTACAATTTCATATTACACAATTATATTAAGTTTATGTCTTTGGATATCATGTTTACAAATTATAACATATTTAATACTTAAATGGAAAACACACAAAGCTAAATAATGATGTACATTTATTTTTTCACGTTTTTAATATTTATATTAAAAAAAATGATTTATTAATATTAATATTTTTATATATTCCTATTTTAATATTGTTACATTTATAAATTTTCAAATTTCACAAAAGATTAAAAGAAAAGAAATAACATGAGACATAATAAAATACATGTTTTTACTTTTTAATAAAAAATATTTATATACATAAAAAATATATATACATAAGAAGGTACATAAGAATTTATAAATGATTATCTATTTATATATTTTATTTTGCTGTAGAAATATATATTATTTATATTTTCTTTTATACTTCTCTATGTTATGAAATTTATATGATAAAATATTAAGATTTTAGTATTCATAGAGAATTATAAAATAACTAGATATTAATATGTAATTACATAATTCAATTTTATTTAATCATAATTTTTTTATTCACATCTACTTGATGCGATATGATCCAATTTATATACGTAATTATTTCAATTAAGAAAATAGATGTATTATATTTTGATTAGAAGTTCATTATTAGATACTTATACAACAATAAGATTTTTTTCTTTTTCAATAATGAGTTTTATTATTTACATAAATTTCACAAAAAATTTTGAAATATTGATAAAATCAAATTATAACTATTCGATTTATTATTAGAAGAGAATTAATATCAAACTGAACAGTTTCTCTTCAAATACTACACACATTACGATAACGTTTATCAAATCTTATATAAATAGATAAGAACAGAGAATATTTTCTTTTATAATATAAGCAATATTTCTAAGTGATGTTTTAATTTTAATTTCAATTTCAAAATTATGAAGTTTTCGTTTCAATTTTCAATTTTGAAATAAAAGTTTAAAATAAATTTTTTATTAATATAACTTTCATTATATTCATCGATATTGAATTAATTTTCATAGTTTTTTTTCAGTTTAGTTAATTTCTTAAATATATATTTATATTCATTAATAATTAAATAAAATTTATCAATTTCGATAAGTAAGTAAATTTATCAATTTTTAATATTATATAAATAAGTGAAATAATCTTTCCTAGATGCAAATCTAATTCATAATGAGAAATCACAATGAGGAATTATTATAAGTTTCATATTTTCAAAAATATTTTTTTCAATTATCGAAATTGCAAAATTATATAAATACATATATAAATGTAAGTTCTATAAATATATATTTATATTATATATATATATATTATATAATATTAAAAAATAAAAAAATTTGCAATATCGAATTATTATACATAATAAGTAATTTTTGATCCCAAATATAAATATATTAATACATAAAAAGGATTATATAAAAATACCTTAAATATACATATATGCATAAATAATGTCATGAAATTACAAATATGAAAAATACAGCATTAATGATGTCATAAATTATGTCATAAAAAAATGAGCACATATAATCGCATACAGAAATATACTTAATATATAATTGAGAATCATTTTTTAATTTTTTATAAATTTGCAATAAAAAAATAATTGCATTGATAATTGACTTCTGTTGAGCAATTTTTAAATATCACGCCTAATTTCCGAATATTTCGGAAAATATCATTATAAATATATATATTAATATACAATATAATAATAATTTTTTTCATTTATAAAAGAAAAAAATCTAATCACAAAATCATTAATTTTATCAAAACATTATTGCACCATTATTACAAATATTATGTTAGATCATAGAATGTTAATGATAATTTCGCATATTAATTTTAAAATAATTTTAAAATAAAAAGTATCCAATATTCAACATAAAATTTATCAATTCTTGATAATCAAAATTACTATCGATCATTAATTAAAAAATAATTCATAAGTTCTTGTTTCAAACATATTGCGAATATAAAATCGTAAATTAAATAATATATAGCAAATCCATATATATATATTCAAATATTCAATTTAATAAAATAATATTTGTCTTCGATGAAATCTAAAGAATGCAATATATTTATTTTTTTCGAAAATTTGTAAGAAATTATCAATTTCTTACAAATTTTATCATATTTTATCTTATTATATTAAACGAACCCTGTAATAGATATAATAGCAAAACTAGATGAATATAAATAGATATATACATTTTTCACTTTCACTTTACATAACGTCCTATAGTTAAATTATCATACATAAGAAATCATGTTAGAATGGCAGTTTTAAAAGAACGTCAATGAGTTTTGATCGGTTTATCGAACAGATATAATTTTCCATTTAAGAAATAAATATGCAAAACATCGTGTTATGATAAGTATTATGAAAAGCGCTACGATATCATTCCAAAATTGATCACCTTCCATAGCAATATCAGAAAGAAATTTTGTTGGATATTTGTAATGGCAATATACAGCTTTTTCTTTACAGGATAACACTGGTCGATCAAGTCCATATATGGCATTGATATATCTACGAAAGTGTAAAAAAAAAAATAAGATTATAATATATCGAAGATATTTTGTTTTGAAACAAAATATCAATATATCGAAATACAAAAGTAATATAATCCTAAATATTAGATATTTAGAAAAAGTTATTAAAAACAATTACAGAAGTCTATGTATATCATTTGACATTGTTTTTATCACATCACAGAATTCAAATATCATTATAAAAAAAATATTACCCTTCTAAACTATATCGCAAGAAACTGATATATGTACCCCATTTAAGATAAATTGGTATATCACGTAATGATACACCAAAGCCTGCAAACATCATCATTGGCACAGATAAAGTTGGTCCCACGAAAGTTCCATTCTAAAATTTAACAAATATTTGCTATTTTAATATTTTTTATACTAATTTTTTATATTATTTTAAATATCTTCTATATGATAAAATAAAAATATACTCACAATTACATTACATATTGCTCCAATCATAAGACCAAATCCCTGAGATATTAAAACTACTAGTAAACTAATCGAAAAAAACATTAGAAATCGTGATATTTCTAATGGCTGAGATGTGATAAAATATACAATCAAAGTAAAAATTAAGCAGCAGAATATCGAAAGTGGTAACTCGACCAACGATAGAGCCGTATAAAATGCCTTTAAACTGTACCATCTATTGAAATGTTCCTTTAATAGAATACTCATTTGCATGGGAACTGTGAACATTATTTAATATTATTAAAAATTATATATTTTTAAATTACAAATATATAATAACAAATTCTAAAATTACGCACAAGTAACTACAGTAAGCATCATTGTGGTCATCATATGATGTATGAGAATGGAGAACAAAAGATTATAATTACTTAACACTCTGGCACCGTCTGTACCCGATTCGAGAAATACTAGGCCAAGCATTAAGCCAACGGCTATATTGGCTAATATTCGTAAATGTGTTAATGTCTTTAACAAAAAAATATGATAACACATTAAAAAAAATTATTTATATACTAAAACAATAGAATTTAAATGTACAATGAAATATCAATCATTATACATAGATTATATAATATAAATATAATATAAATTACATGGTAAAATGAATAACTTAATTAATATTTGTGTATATTGTATATTTATCATTAAAATTAATAGAATTTTATATTTTCATAATACTTACAGCATCTCTTTTACACATCAAAAAACCTCTTTTCATTAAAATTTTGATTTGATGTATCAGAGGAGTTGCTTGAAGACTATTTTTATTACTTATATTCAAATTCTTGTGTGAATGCAATGCTATAAAAGAAAAAATATAATTATTTAAATCAACATCTAATTATTTATATTATTTTATTATTTATTTAATTTTTATATAATATTACTAATATATTTTTCTTTTTTTATTACATAATTTATATATATTATCATATAATATTAAACAATAAACAAAAACATACTTTTTAGACCATTCGGTTCTAATAAGGTATTAGAATTTTTGAACCATTGTAAATTCTTGCCATTCTCCGCGGCTGACACTAATAACGATATTTTATCTTCTCCATATTCACCGCAAGCCAATTCAATTACTGCAAAGAAAAAAAAAAGAAAGAATAAATATAAAAAAAATATGTGAAAAATGTTTTCCTTTTTGGCATATTTTTATCTAATCATATTATAACTTGTTATAGATTCTAAAAAAAAGAGAAGTTCTTAAAAAATTCTTCTATAAAGAAATTTTAAAAATGGATCAACGCAATATTTTCGAAGAAATTTTAAAAATGGATCAACACAATATTTTCGAGGAATATTATATTTGATTAGATAGACAAATAAACATGTATAATATTCATTTAACAGTAATATATACCGTAATCAGCTGGATTATAGTACACAGGACATGGCAATTTGATATTTTCTAAATACGAAATTAAATGATCAGTTGAACCATGAAATAGACATTCTCCTTTTGATAATAAATAAACCTGCAATCATAATAAAATTAAAAATATAAATTGAATAAAAATATAATAATTATAAAAAATATAATATTGAATAAAATATAGCAATTATGAACAAATAATATAAAAAAAAGTTACGATAAAGAATATCTCGTACCAGATCAAACAATTGAAAAATCGTTGCGCTAGGCTGATGAATTGTACAAATAATTGTTCTTCCTTGCCGTGCAAGTAATTTTAATAAATTTATAACTTGTGTACATGATAAACTATCCAAACCTCTGAAATATTCATTATATATATTATATATATATATATATATATATATATATATATATATAATTATATATAAT